GCATGATACCCTTTGGGTAACCTTTTGATTTTGCACTTGATGACCCCGGAACACCCCCGGGATGACCTCTCCTCGTCAAGTCCTTCCATTTGATACATCAGACGATACCTTTTGAGTAGCTTTGATTTTGCACTTAATGACCCCGGACCACCCCCCGGGATGACTTCTTCTCGTCCAGACCTTTCCTTTGATAGGTCATGTGACCAAATATTCAAATGATGCCTTCTGATTGGTCGAAAGTTTGATGACGTCATTGGCGCGAAATTCAAACCGTGGTCTATATGAGCCCACTCCACTACTCTCAGTGATAATGTGTTGAATTTTCGCAAATATGCATCGGTTGTTGTATGTCCGTGTCGCCAAGGACGGTATCCATTTTTGATGCCCATTATATCTTTTTTGTTCATTAAAATGCACGGGCTCATGTATGTATGAAACAGACATTCGTTGCTGTAAATTTTACATATTTCAGTTAATATATCTTTGGGATTCTGAACAAGTCTTACAGCAGCTTTAATGGAGCGACGCGTTTAATTTCAATCTAGTTTACTGATTCTTGACTATTAATTTAAAATGCAGTGTCTCGACTAGCCCTTCTTTTCCAGCTTCTCATAATGGAACTATGTGAAGAAAAGTAGTCACATAAACATGCAGTTATCAACTCATTAAAGATTGAAAAATTAGAGAAAGTCAAACTTAATGGCATGTGATTTCTATGTTGTTTGTCATCGAGCTGATGACATTATTTATTGAACGTCCCTCGTAAAGGCAAAAAGAAACACGGTGTAGTTTTCCATTCAACATAAACATAAATCGACATTTTTCTCTATTTACATATTATTCCTTTTTCTATCCTACGCTTATTCAGAAATCGTATTAAGGCAAAACCATAGAGTACAATACTACAATACATTGTTTTATATTTAGATAATTTCACTATCTAAAGGATGTCAACGCGAACTTTAAAAAAAAAAAAAAAAAAAAAAGTAGTCAAATGCTATGACACTCTTTTATCGACAACGTCTCTTATTCATTAATGACAGCAACATATTCATCATCAATTAATTGCATAAATAGTGAAGTTTATGTCTCCCAATTGATTAGATATGGAAAAAAATGTTCGGTATTAAAGCAATTTCTGATACTATGCACGTTATTGACAGCTACATGTAATATGATAAAACAAGGATATCAACAATTATAACTTCCGTTGTCAAAAGTCAGCAATCTGCATTTTTTTTTGGACACGATGAACTTGGGAAGCAATTAATACAATTACAGCTGTAATTAAAATCGAATGTTGATTGGCGTTTTTCATGCAAATCTCAAAGGTATTTAATTTTCCCCTCTGAATCGCCTTGAGATTTTTTTCCGTTTACCTGACCATGACAAGGAACTCACGTCTTCATGGCACCTAACCCCATTTCTGATATTTCAGAGGTCCGTTTTGTTCTATTCCCGCTTTGTATTCTATGTTTTAGTCGGACCTGGAATCTGGAACAAAGCCAACACGTACGGACCTCTCAAACATTACCGATGGGATCAGGTGCTATGCAAGTGTGTGCATTCCACTGCCGAAAAAGTCACACCTGTCGTGTGCTCCTTGTCATGATCGGTAATTAAAAAGAAAATCGGTCGCGGATCACACCTTAGGCAAGCCGACATTGTGGGAAGTGTGTCAGTTGGCAGACAGGGAATAGAAATAATACCATCGACAAGATCGAGAACATCATCTGAAGTGCATGGAGGCAACTTTTAAAAGTGCAGAAAGAAGTGCGCAAACTAGAGGAACATACAAGAATGGAAAAGGCAGGTGTTATGATGAAGCAGGGAAGCTGGATGAACTGGCAAGGAGCCCGACAAAAGAAGTTACATGTATCTTGGAATGAAATCTGGATAACAGAGCCCCAGAGACTGCAGTCTCAGCTTAATTTGGTTGATGTTGCCAACTCCAAACCAATCTGACAACACGGGGCATGAAGGAGTGCCCAAACCTCAATCTTTGTTGTTGACAATCTACCTCTACTGTCTTCAAGTTCAGTAACCTTAACAGATGAAAGATGTACACTGAGACTCGACAAAGTTTTATCTGTTATTGCAGACGTGCTGGAAAAAACTAAGAAGAAACTTTGGAAGACCATGGAAGGCTTGAAGTTTGTAAACTTTGTAAAGGCTGGTGAACAGAGTCGTGCTGGGGGAGTGGAAAGAGGTGGACTGTTGGGGACCACCAGTGATTTGGAAATGCAAGCATATCTCAACAGCCGAATGAAGTTTCCACAGGAAATAGCATCTACCAATCAGAGACAAAATGTTTTTAGTCTCCTGTAGTCCGGTTTGCTATTTTAGTGGAATTTATAGTGCTGGGTGACAGAGTTGATTAAGCCCAAGAGCTGAAAATGAATAAGTACATGTACCAGGATCTAGTTGCATACTGTCAACAACGGGTATAGAGAAAATGATGTCTCCCAGCTGAAGTTAAATGCCGTCAATTTGTAGGGCAATCTATGCGGATAGTTGGTACAACAGACACTGAGAGACGACAACTCTATGGACGCCTGAGTGGGCACAAAGGAAGAAATGGCATTTATATGGTTAAGGAAATGAGATGTGCAGTGGAAAGTGTTACACTTAAAGGCTCTATATATGAGCTTGTGAATGGGCATTCAATGTGTTGCAGTGAAGTTGGGGTCACAGCTGATAGGTTCCGGTCTGGGGCTTAATCGGCGTAAATTTGAACATGCTTTAAAGATAAAATCATAATAGTTTGATATAAAATAAAAACAAAATCGCATTTTACCAGTTAGATACAAGTTGTGCAGTATGCCAAAGTGAGCTATATCCAGAAATATGTTTGTTTCTTTAATTTTTCAAAATGATTGATTGTTGTTTAACGTGCCCTTGAGAATTTTTGACTCACAAGGAGACGCAACCACTTGTCGTTGGAGAGCTGCAAATTTCGTCCTACCTACATGCTCGGTTCTCATGGCGCCCATTTAGAAGAGAGGGGCCTTTTTCGTGCCAGCATCTACTGTGACACGGGACCTCGGTTTATACGGTCTAATCCGAAGGACCGGTCTCCATATCCCACAGTGGAACTCCTTAATTACTCAGCGACTGTAGAGCAGACGTTCTTACCACTGCGCCACGCGGGTGGCTACTCTTCAAAATGATTGTATTCTAGACAAAATTCTGTAAAAGTTCAATTCGATCAAACTCTGTACAACCTGTATTTCACTGGCTTATACATTTGACTTGTTTACTGTTCTTGCAAACTTTCTGCAAATGTTCAATTTTCTTAAATGCATCCTGTGAATTTGTTCAGAGAAAAGCTAATGATTATTAGCGTGAATGATTCTTGCAGTTTGAGTTCCTGTAAACGTTTTGAATTCCTTCAATATTTAATTTGCCGCACGTTTTGCGATCAGATCGCATCTAGCGGTAATCATCAGCATAATAAGAAATGTTTCATCCTGCGAACTTGCAGAAGACTTGGTAATACATGCATGTGAATGCTAAATCTAACTGCCAAAGGGATACTCTTCCAAACTGATGTGTGTGCCGCACGCCTGAAGCAAGCTTTTAAGTCTGTTGCAAGATTGCATCAAACAAACTTTTTCACGGGAAGAGAATTTTCTTGTTCGCAGAAGATTGCCTTTAGCTGCGATGTTGCAGCAATTGCTACAAGCTTGCAGCAAATTTGCAGGAACCCAACATACACGCCATTCTAAGTTCGCAGGAAACATTTCATTTGAATGTTTGAAGGAAGTTCGCAAGAACAGTAAACAAGTCAAATCAGTACATGTACTGGGTTCAACCTGGAATTCGCCATTTTGAATTGAAGTTACATGACGTGTACATATTTCAGTATTGTGTTAGGAATATACTGTTTTGAAATATTACAAAAATAATGCAAAACTCTGTATGTATAGGTATACATTGGCATCCTAGATATCTAATTGGTAAGATATGATTTTGTTTTATTTCAATAAAAAAAAATATTCTTATAATATAGCTCATGTTTGAGTAACTGGTGTAACTGATACTAGTAGTTCAAATCTTAATCTACTTATTGTGAATTTCAGTCCTCATTTTAATATCAATCATTTATATTCTTCATAAATTGTATTTAAGGTCCAAAATCAACTATTTAATAACTTATATTTTTCAAATAAGTTAATAACTATTCATATAACATTTAATTATATTATTTTGTGTAATGTTCTTAATTAATTTCCACGTACAGGTACATATAATATAAGAAAATTAATTAAAGTATTAATTAAGAAAAGTATGGAGACATTGTCTAGGAACATATTAAAGAGGGTCTCTCAACACTTCAGAAACTTGCATCATTTCAGATATATACGTGTGGTGGATTTTCTCTAAAATTAACAAATTTAGATCAGGGCAAAAACTTTCTGCGAGTATGTGTACAGGAATGTGGTAAAAGCTATAAAGAAATTGCGCAAGCTTGCCACAATGTATGCCACAAGTCTGCAGCAATGTCCGCCGCAATCTTGCAGCAATGTCTGCCGCAAGCTTGCAGTAAGGTTTCCCTATTTGGAAAATCCAGTATTATTTGTTGCAGGCTTGTAGCAAACCCCATTTGCATGGTAAAAATGTTTGTTGCAAGCTTGCTGCAAACTTGCCACAAACTTGCTGCAAATATCAAGGCTTTGTAAAGACTATAATCCTACATTGCCGCAAGCTTGCAGAAATGTCTGCTACAAGTTTGAAGCAAATATTTGCAGAAGGCAATATTTTTGGTAAGGGGTTTGATAATTTTTTGTAAGAAAGACTTTTCTGTTCTTTTTAAAAATATTTTTAAAATATCAAATTTTGAACTATTTGTATCAATTTGGAAGTTCTCAATCTAGTTTAAGTTCATGGTTTGAAAAACGTGCCGTAAACAACCACCTCGGAAATGAGAGAAGTGACTGTGAAGATTTTAAAAATATGTTTACTTTCTTTTTCAACTACGCATGCGTATGCTGGTTGCACCGGAAATGGATTGTATCGAAACGTAAACAAAAGTATTATTTAAATTATTTTAAACCAATTTTGCATTGAATATATACGGAGCATCGATTTTATCATTTTAGAATGCCTGTGCATTTTAAGGTAAGATTGGTCTTATTAAATTTTAGCGCAGATTGTATCATTTGGCGATTAATTGACATCATTTACGCTTCGTGCACTTGTGCAGACCCTGCAGTTAATATCAGAATGAGATTTGTTGTATCAGTTCCTAACTCCAAAGACCTTTTTGTGTGAATAAATTTTATAGGGAGATAAGTTAGAAATAATGAAATAAATTACGGCCTCTTGCTGATGTTATCTGAGGCCTTTAAAAGTGTTATCTTCCCTTTGGCTGCTCCTGACCGCACAAGTGTAAACATGTCTGAACATATTCCTATAAAGCGGCAATTATTATAATTTTAATCCAAACACCAGCAAATCAATTGGAGGTGCAAATCAAATTAATTAAAGATGAGGATTAAGAAATTGAATATATCTGTAAGTTTTATGTGTATATGTGCTTGTTTATAAAGAACAATCTTTTATTTTTGACTTGTACTGTCCTTTCGACATGCATAGACTACTATGTCTGCACTTGGACTGAATAGAGACCTGGGATTTAAAAATGATCCATTGTTCTAATCACAGATTAGTGGTTTCAATTGTTCTCTTGTAGCACTTTGAAAGTTGTTGATTTTTTAAATCTTAAAATAATTGGATTATCATGAATGGTCTTTGGAAGATCAGTAAAAGCCGCAAAAATGTAGCCTTATTATATTTTTGGAGAGGGTCGAGTGGGGAGGGAATGAGGTGAAGACTGAAGGATGGGTTTGATAGTGAGGGACAACAAAATTAACATTAAAAAATTGGAGTCTGTTACATCATGAACATGCATAACTCATGCAGATACACTGCAATATACAAGAGTAACAGATCTAGATTCTTGGTAGATGGGGGTGGGGTTCACATATTGAGTCAGACATGATTATCAAATGACCAAATGAAAATATAACATATAAAAAATGATAATTTTGAACTTTGATGAGTTGTGCATTTTAAAATTTGATATTTTTCGGTGTCAGGGTAAATCAGAATATGACAGAAATTATAAATGGTTGGACTCCTACAGGAGTAAGAGCTTCAGACCTTCCCCTGAGCAGGTGGCCCCGACAGCTGGCTGCTGTTCAGTAGAACTTGGTACATATGAAAAAAATCTATTGATAGTACTCATAGTGGATGCTTTTGGGTGTTAGGCATGCTTGTGTTGTATATAATTAGGCTCATGTGTCATAATCATTACCAGAAAGTATCGATCAAATGTCTAGCAATGGGAGAATATATCTATTTAAAAATATGAATATCATTATTTATATTATGTACATGTCATAGCCATTAAACATATAATGTTATGTAAGCTAGTTCTTTGACTTGGTTTGTATAAACATGATAAAGAATACTTCATATTGGGCTTCAAAGGCTACCTGCTACAAACTTGATAAATGAAATATACCTGTATATGAAAAGACTCGTTGCATTGATTTTATTAAATATGTCTTTTCATTTGTGAAAATTATTAACTTCACATTTCAATTTGATTTTAAATGAAGAATCTAGCATGATTTAGCTTCAGTATCATGGTATTGTGATGCTTATTATTGTATCCCTTTGAATGTTTGTTGTTTATGTTTTATTGTATGAAGTTTTTTGTCAAACTCACTGCCAGAAAATCATTTTAAGTTTACAAGTTGATTCATTTAGACCAACTTCAAAATAATGTTTGTTTGCCCTGCTCGGAGCAACTGAAGATGAAAAATTTAGGTCTGTAGGTCATGTAGCTATAGATGGGAAATTTTTTTCAAAGATTTTTTTTCAAAAAAACATTGAATGCTGAATTTTCAAAATCAGTTTTCTGCAAAGTATAAAAACTATTTTTTTTTCCTGCAGCATTTGGATTATTAAGTTGAAAAAAAATTGAGTCAGGTCAATTTTAGTCAGTTGGTCTGAAGAGGGCAGACAAACAATTCATTAAATACTAAAAATCATGCTGTTATCATATTCATTTTGCCTCATATGCATGCTAGAGACTTGTATCTTATCCATTGTAGACAGAATATAAGCAGAATTATCTGCCAGTACAATCGAGGAAAAGTGCCTCCTTCCACCCCCTCCCTCAGCAAGCTGTGGAGGCGGCAGGGAGGGAGTCAACCAAGCTAGGTATTAACAATAACAGTAATAATAGTCTCAGTTATCTACATCTTCAATCTGACCAGTTTGTCACTTTAGATTAGGTACAACTGTATTTAATACTAAAAGTCACTTCTTTATTTTTGCAAAATTTCAATTGGTATTTGTTATTCATAATCCTTAAAATATTATAGATAAATTATGAGATTCAATTATTTGCAAGCAGATAGACCATGTAGACTGATCACTTGTGTAATTATGCAAAAATAAAGTTCTTGTGAATAAAAAGTGATGTACATCATGTACTGTAATTGTCACAAACAACAGCATGCATCTTCATTTTGTTGTGGCCAGTATGTGTTACATTGTCACAGCTTCGTGGTTTGTCTTGGCAATGCATACTATACACATGGAATATTTTGTACTCAGAAAAATATATTGACTAAAATATACATATAATAGTGTAAAATCACAACTATGTTTTGAAATGATAAAGCTATTCACATGCATTTAAAAGCTATCTAAAAAAAAAAAAAACAATGTTTATTTCTAAATTAAGTTTCCTGTGTTTTACAACTGAATTAATTTTTGCACTTTTGTCATGTACAGTGAAAACTGTCTAATCCGACACCTGAATATTCCGACACACTGTGAATTCCGACGTTAAATTTCTTTCCCATTTTCGTATTTTCCTTGTTTATAACACTGTGCAATCCGACACCCTGTCTCTTCCGACACAAAATTTGTCTCCCAGTGCATGTCGGATTAGACAGGTTTCACTGTACATGTAAATTAATGCAAGGATATGCTTCTTTTTCAATTGTGAGTGTTATAATGATTGCTTTAGGTATGACTATGGAGCCAGCTTTACAAAGGAAGAAGCACTGCCCCGGCCCCCCTACAACCCTGAGTACTGACTTCAATCAGTTCCCGGACTCAGCATCAGATGATTTTGCCCTGCTGGGAAGGAATGATAAGTTCTCGGAGAATGTCCGATACAAATCTAAAGGACGGCATAGTCACCAAGCCAGAGAAGCATCCCCACCCAAACAACAAAAACTGCAGGTATATGTATGTGTATATTTAGAAATGTCTGCATGCAATTTCTTTTAAAAACTAGATGTTCTGAATCTGGTGCTGCTTCTTACTGGAAAGTCTGTGGTGAAAAATACCACAAATGCTATTCCTGTGTTTATGAAAGATGCATGTATATATTTCAAATATACTTATAAGGTTTAAAACTACATGTAGTTAAAAAATATAATGAACTCATCTGCTGTTTACCCATGTCTATACATCTGTACATAGACTAAACCTAAATATTCATATTTAATCTGTATTGTAGGAAAAGGAAAATCTGAGAAAAACTGTCAAAGAAACACCAGCCCCATTTGTGGATACATCCAAATTCCGACAAAGATCCAAGTTGGAGGACCCACCCAGAAAACCTAGGGCCGAAGATCCACCCAGCACCCCTCTGACCCCAAGGAAGGAAAAGAACGAGCACTCCAGTCTAGTGAAGGAAGTAGCCCTAAAAGACAAAGAGGCTGCATTGAGAGAAAAATTCATCAAACTGGACAGAGAAGCCAAGAGGAAGAAGCCACGTAGTCAGTTGAAGGAGACCAGGAAGGACTTCAGTAAAACTATTGACCAGAACAAGATGGAGTCAGCTGTGAAGGCGTGGGCCAAGGACAAAGATGTGGGGGCCATGAATGAGTTCGCCCAGACAAACCTTGATAAAGGGGTCGGCTATTCTGCACCAGAAGCTCCGGTATGTGTTCCTTTTGAATTGTTTAAGATTTAAAAATTAAATTGATTGCAATGTTTTAAAATTTTAATATAGTCATTAATAGATATGGTTAAAGAACATTTAAATTGTGTAATGTAAAGGGTTAATTTAAAGTTTAATAGAGATTAGTTGTCTATTTCAAACCTAGCTTAGATGATGTGAGTAAACATTGTCAATGAAATTTATTTCAGTTTTACATAGTTTAATTAAAATCATGTCTATCTAAGGCGGATTACTCCCTGAGGTACAAAACAGGAGTTACGGCCCCCCGACAAAGGAGACACAAATTTTCCGAGTACCAGAAGGCCTTTAGCTGGAAAGACGGTTCTAAAGCTTCACCAGTGCTGGCTGCAGAACAGGTACTCTGAACTTTATTTTTATGTAGGCCTTGAGATTGCAGTGTTTTGCACAACTAGAAGCTATGCCATTGTTATTTGCAGCCAAAGAAAATAATAAATGAATGTTTTAACTTTCTTCATTTAAATAACAATTAATGTGCAATATATTGGTTTATTAACAGAATGTTTATTAATAGATTTCCTGAAATGTTTTTAAAAGAATATGTACGTGCAACATTCCTTCTAGATATGTAATGATTTGTAATCCTTTGCATTTGATTTAAAACATTGATTGCATGCACAGGCGCGTGAAGTTTTTAACCTTTCTTTTCATAAATAAAAAATCTCCCATACTATAATATGGGAGATTTTTATTGATGAAAATAAAGAAATGTTTGGTTAAAAATGTCAAGCACCTGCGATTGCATGTTAGATAAAGCAGATTTAAATTTAAAAAAAAACAAACAAAAAATTAATCATCCCAACTTTGCCTTCTTATTCTGTACGTCTCTATTTCTTTTTTTAAGTCTAAGTTATTAATGCTGACTCTGTTTTGATTATTGTTTTGTTTTGCTTCCTTAGGCAGTTGTAGCATCTGAGAGTAAAAATAAGGTTGTGTATTTATATAGCCATAATGTTCTGCATGCTTTAAATGGCTTATATGTTGATAAACCTGCATGCATATTCTATATTCAAACCTATATTGTAAAATTGTTAACCTGGAATATAAGGTTAACCATTACTCTGAGGTTATTGGGAAAATATATTAATCAGGTTGATAACTCTAGTTTATTTAGATTTGTTCTAAAGACTTACTAAATTTATGTGTATTATTTTCTGTTTCCTTTTTTTAAGATTGATATGTTCTTGTTATACTTGTCTAATACATGTTCTGTGACATTCCAATTCTATTTATGTTATTATGAACATAGATCTAATGATTTAGTAATACCGTAAATCTGGAAATTTTTACGTCCATTTTATTTTGCGAATCTGGGTCAAAATGCTATTGATTAGTTTTTACGTTTCAAAATTTTGCGAATGACAACTACTTTGTTTACATTTTCTTATTGTTGAATTATTTTTAAGAAAAATATTTTTTTCAAATGAAATGAACTCGCAAATTTGCTAAAAATTTATCTACAGCAAAAGATTCCAGATTTAAGGTAATATGTTACCGGGTAATATCTTTAACAAGTTTACTGACTCATGTTTATGCATGTACTTCATATATTTATACTTCATTGTATTAGTTTAAACTAGACTCCTGAAAGACATGTATTTCTTGATCTTGATCAGTGTACAATGTATAATCATGGCACATGCATTACAGAAATATATATATTATATGAAAATATTTCATTTCTCTCGAATGTATATGTATTAAGTGTTAGTTATTCTGTGAACAGTATATATATATATATTGTGCAGCATTAAACTTGTTTTGTCATACACTCTAAATCATTAAGACTCTAAATTTGTAAAATAAAATTACTCTATATCTTTACATAAATGCAAACTCAGATAGAGACATTTTTCACAATTTAAATATAATGGACAAATGAATTTTACGAGACCTTCCTTGTTTGCCTCATTGTAACTATGATAATTATAAATTCTTGCCTTCCACAGGTTGTATACAACAGTAATCCTGCGCTGATCCCTCCCAAGAGGACCTTTGTCAAGGACAGTGAGTATGCGGCTCAGTTCAAAGAGTACAACAGCATACCTGTCAGCAGCGATGACCTCAAGGCCGTCCCAAGGACAGAGAAACAAAGGTCAAAGGTAAAAAAAGGAACAAAGATATGCTTCATAAAAGTATTAAGGCTAACATTACACTGCACAAGTATTACATGGAAATATTTAAACAGATGCGTCAAGAGATATATTATATTTATGTGCAAAATTTTATATTTGTAACCACGATATTTTATGTTTAGACAATTCTTTGATTAAGTTTATATATATTTGATGCTTGAGATTTTGCTGCTATCTTCAATATTAGATTTCTGTATTTTTATTTCAAGGTCAGAAGAAGTAAAAGCACTGGATGTATGTATATACAAGATTGTTTCTATACAATTTTATCGTAAATCCTCAAATTTCAAAGAGATGTTTAGGCAAGATATATTATGATTACATTCAACTAAAATGGCTATCCAAAAGATTTCAGAAAATTAGGATTCCAAAGGGAAAAAAAAGAATATGAATGATCCTATTGGAAAGGAGTTATGTAAGCCAGATCATTTTCAGGTTGCATGAATTTTTTTTAGCACTGCGGGTGGACAAGAGACCTGCTGCTGGTAGTAGTCCAGTTATTTCCCCTGACAACAAAAGACAGACCATTGAATCTGAACTACAGGGTGAACCAAAAGAGGTCCCTAGTCCTCTACCCCTTAACCAAGGAAAACTCAAGTAAGTTTGGAATATCTCATTGTCTTCTTGATAAAGATCACTAGATCACAACTATTAAACTTCTTTAAGATAAGATCTAACTTGGATTTTAAGATAAGATCTATCTTGGATATGCTGAAAAATTGAAAAAATATATATATATATATTAATAAGAATAAGAGAATGTTGATTGTTATGTATTTATTAAGCTTTTACTAATAATCAAATAAATATGGCATTAGAATACATGATAAGAAAATATAAAAAAGAAATATTTTGAAATTTCAAGATTTTGCTAGAAATAATTTTTTGTTTTTAAAGTTATTTGAATCAAAATTCAAATGCTTATTTAGTTCCAAAACAATATGTTTTTTTGCCTTTCAGGCGACCAAGAAGTGAATATGCCACAAACTTTCGATCCCCAAACAAATATCAATATGACGGGGTGTGGCATGGAGCTCTCCCCCCTCATCTTCAACCAACTAAAGTAAGTCAAGAGTGGGGGGATTTTATTGCTGTTCTTGACCAGAAGTGTGTTTGTAATGTCCTTGTGTTGCTGCTAAGTTGTACATATCACACCCTTCCAAAAATTGCACTCAGTTAACGTTTTTATACTACCCGGTAGTCAAATTTTTAGCTTACATTGACATATTCCATATCAATTTCTTTTTTAAATTCATGTACATCTTTGGGGAAGTTTGGAACAAAAATATTTCTGAATTAATTTCGTGATGTGTAAAGCAAAATACTATACATTAACAATTTGTGATGACATTTTTCAGATAAATTTTATCAAAATAATTAAATGTAAAATGTGATTACTTAACTATTAATTTTACAATCACTGGGTATGGAGTTGTTGGCGTGATGATAAATTAGCACCTCACATGTTTGTCATGATTTTTATTTTATAAATGATTTTTTCTTCTCAGTATTCACGAATTTAGTGAGTCATTGTTTGTGCTAAAGGCACTTAATATGAAGCCCACTTTTTTAAGTACATGTACAGTATTCCTTTTATTCTCATGAAATCTTAGATAGGAGTTGAACAGATAAAGGAAATACACATTGCATTTTATTTTGATTTTTTTCAAATGGTCTTTGGTGTGTTCTAATGATAATTATACAGCACATCCAAAAATCATTGCATAAACCCTTCAATTCAGTTCATAAAGTATTTCACAATTTCATACAATAGAGCGCAAGGCTAGAGATACACAAAAGAAAAGTTGAGTTTCAAAGTAGTTCTGCAATGAATCTAGTATAATTTTTAACTACAATAACATAGCCCTCTTTGATTTTTTTAAAATTGATATTTTCTGGAGAGAAAAAAATGGAAGAGGGCTACATTATTGAAGCAAGTATAATTAAGGCTTCACATCTGATCATTTCATTAAAATATGATGGCTTGTTTTATTAGGCATTATCAGAGGAAGAAAAGTCAGTTAAAGAGGTAAAGGAGGTAGGCTACTGAATAGTAATAAATATATGGACATGTATGTGATGTCTTCATGTGCAAACAAATATTTAATTTGCAGACCATTTTGTTTAAGATGCTCTATTCAAAACATTATTTCCTGAAAGTTAACTTGTAGGCAAATAAAATCATTTTTATGTTGAATGAAGACCTTTTTCAAATATAAATGCAATATATTTTATTTTAAAATTAAATGCAACATTTCAACCTGTAGAACATTTCAAGTTACTCTAACATTTTTCAATATTTTATTTTGAAACAAAGCGGGAAGTATTTCCTTAAGATACGCTCATACAAATACAATGGTATAAAAGTACCAGGATTGAGATTACAACATTTGTGAAATTTCATGAAGATCAGCTAAATAATCTAATGATAAATATTTTACTTAAAAATATTTCTTTTGTTTTCAGAGTGCACCTGTGAATAGTGGCCCAGCCTTGTCTAACTGGTTTGCTGAAGTTATCGAGCTTCGACAGAAAGCTGCTGAATACAAGAAACGAGCCCAGGGAACCCACTTCTCTCGCGAGCACCTGGTCCAGCTCATTGCTCAACAGACCCAAGCCTGGGACAGTCTGAGTACTGCTCGCAGTGGATCAAGCACACTCTCAGCACTCTCACTCGAGTCTGGTTTGACTGCCAGAGAAAGAGCAAAGTAAGTGTCTTAACAAAATTGCTTTAAATTTGTGTTTTGATTTTTCCTCACAAATTTCACTTTTGTGTATTTTATGGATTGCGTGATTTATCAATAAGAGCTCAGCATGTTTTCAGTTGAAACCATAGTAAATATGCTGCAATGCATGCATTATAAAAAATCTGTTGTATGAGTATTTTGTATCTATAAGTGTTTGATGAATGATTAAAATACATATTTTCACTTTTTTTTTTATTTAAAAAGTATTGAATTATTAGAGAAACATATTTATTTACAATAAAAGAATACACATTTATGTGTATGCAAACTTTCAGGCAGGAGTTAAAAACAGCAGAAGAAACAAATACATGTACTGATAATGAAAAGCCAGGGGCTATACAAGCAAAACCAACACACACAAAAATGGATACTGACAAACCTTCAGTTTCTAAGGAAACAAAGCCCACACTGACAAATACTGATAACAAAAAAGTAGTTGCTAAGGAGGCAAGCAAATCCCAAATAAAAATTCTTAACAAAGATCGAGACTTAAAATGCCACAACCAAACCAAAATTGATAAAACTGAAATTAGGCAGGAAAGAAATCAGACACAACAAAAATCAAAATCTTTACCAGAAAAAATTGAAAGTAAAAACTCTCAGAATAAAAACCTTAGTCCTGATAAATTGGATTCCAAAACTGTAAAAGGACAGACTCATGAGCAAGAAAACAAAGAAACACAAGCATCAACTAAGATCATGTGTATTGAGGCTGTGGAAAGTAAGCCATCAAAAGGCTCCAAGAAATTGGACTCGAGACAAACCAAAGAAACAGTCAAGCCACTTCAATTGTATGTCCACGTAGACAGTAGATTGTAGATCTCCCTTCCTTTACCTTGTATTTACTCAATAGACATGTTAGAGGGCATGAAACTTGACTATAGTACACTGTAGTTTGATACAGCAACATACATATTAAACATATATATCAAATATTCAGACTTTCTTATAAGTTATCATGGTTATATATAGCATGCATGTTTATCTTCTAGCACATTCACTTGTACATGTATATCGAGTTTTAACTCCTTTGTAGGATGGCATTTGATAGTTTAGATTTTTGCTAGTTTATTTCGCTAGTCTAAGAGTATTTTGTCAGAGTATGTATTCCCCTGTTCTTAGTGATTGTATCCTTGATTTGCTGTTTCTTCTACCGGTAGATATCCTTGTAATCGGTAGATCAATTTGAACAAAAAAAAAGAAGCATTTAAGACTCAATACATATAATAAGGGTAGTTTGAATTGATTGTAATGATTTGCTTCTTTTTTGTTGTATGTATATATATACAAATTTATGTACACTGTATATGGAATATTTCTCTATTAGCAGTCAGTCTTTTTATTTATTTGGTGCTAATACTACATGTACCAGTTAATGATTACACCAAGACATTTTTTTCAATAATTGTGACAGGAAATTGATTTGGAAAATGTCAAATTTAATTTTCAATGGTTGACTTTTTGTTAACAATAGTTTAGTACAAAAGATCTATTCATCTGTTTACCTGTTTATTATTATACATTCAGAAGTGAATACTCTAAGTGATAATGACGCTTATACATGTGCATATTATGTTATTGTTTATTTTTGTACAGAGCAATGGCCAATAGAAATGGGGATGACATATCAATGATGGCTCACGAGGGATCAGATGAGGAAGCAGGAAAACCAGACTTTGTATCGGAGAAACATTTAGACCTCACAGCTACCAAGGGAAGTAAGCAGAGGAAACACAGGAAGAAGGCGTGGCAAAGAGAGGAAGCAAGGTATGGTTAAACATGTGTGTTAAGTAGGATGCATGAGTTTGAAGAATTAACAATACTTTGTTTCATAGATATTGAATAGATGGAGAGGGGCTTGCATGAAGGAATCAAAACACAAATATTTACTTTCGTCAAAATAAGTTTGAATTTCCTCAATTTTTATGCTAGAACTATTTCAGGACTTATTCATACAGCTAGATTTGAAACTTAAGTTTTATATAAATAAGAATATGAAAGAAACGTGTTATTAGCAAATTATTTGATTATATATTTTTTTTATTCTCAACAGGGAAGCAGACCAAGATAATGTGTCTTTGTTGTCCAATGTGGGGTCAGATATTTCCAGATCTGATATTTATCCTCAAAAGACTGAGAAACGAAGAGGAAGGAAGAAGCAGAGGGGTAGGAGGAGGAGAGAAGAGGAAGATGTAAGGTGAGAATAGAAACATATTGGGAGGGAAAAGACTGGAAGGAGTCAAAATAGGAATAAGACATGTCTAGTTGAGTGAACATACATAATTTGTAACTCCATCAAGGAGCTAGAGAAATGAATATAGAAAGTATTATTGAGGTTTGATTTGATTTCCTCCCCAAAAAGGGAAGTTATGGAAGACTTCTTTTGCTTGAATTACATGAGAAGTGTGGATAAACAGTTTATGATCATTGGTCTTATTTGAATGAATGAAATTAAAATGCAGATTTATTTATCAGTTGTACAAGATTTAAAAAATTTAAATATAAAGATGAGTAAAATAGTATTTATTCCAGACCTATATGTCTTTTTCAACAGTGACATAACCCCTGTAGCAGATCCCTCCTCTGACAAAGGCAGAATCCCCACCCCCAAGCTCAGGTCAAAGAGTGCTGGTGCCAGACATCACCTAGACAGGACCACACCAGTAGTGGGAGGGGCCATTCTGTCCTCACCCCCAAGGCCAGAGAAATCATCCCAGATGAAAGTCAGCAGGTCATGGTGCACCCCTCAAGGTAAGATATCCCTCAAACTGATTTTCATTTAAATATTTTAAACGTGTATCACACGTACTTACCAGAAAGAAAAGAACTGTATACTGTATTGCCTCAAGGTATAATATACAGTCAGGGGTGTGATGGAAATCCATCATTTTTGAAATGACGATTTTTTGTCGTAAAATAAAATTTTTATTATGACTAAAACTCGTCATTTTTAAGAAAATTACGAAAAACAGTCATAAAAATTTAGAATGTTTCTAGAATACCAAGGTACATCTCTTTGAAAAATGTTTGATCCACCAACCGTAAAAAGGACAAAAATCATCGTAAACAAACTTGATTTCTCTAATACAGTTGACTACAATATTGGTTATGTTGACAGTACGAATTTCCCAACAAAAATAAGAGTAAAAGAGTTATTTGTCAATTTTTTTGCATGAAATAGCGAAGAAGACGAAAATGACAATATTTTGTCTTTTTTTCAAAATAGAGGGTCTGGGCGCACTGAAATATCTCGCTTGTTTTACGGGGCGCACTACTTTTTTATTGCTTTAACTTTTTGTCAAGACTTTTCTCTACACGTACGTATTCTTCCAGACGGTTTACTATATGATTTTATAGGGCTAAAAGCCATGTAAAAATGGTGAATTAAATCTACCAAAATTCGACATTTTACCACTAAACCATAACTTTCACCTTCTATGTTGATGTTCTAACGCACATGGTCTGTAGAAGTCAGTGACCCGGATGAAAGGACACTGCTGTTCAAGCGGGAAATTCAAAATTCGATGTTAAACAACCATGATAGAGGCATTTTGTCGGAAATAAAAATATGACGAAAATTTGTCATATTTACAAAAATGACGGAATCACATAGTTTAAAAAAGAGACGACAATCCATCATTTTTAGAAGTGATGGATTTCGATCACACCCCTGACTGATATAGAATAATAATCATTGAGTTGAATTGAATTCTGGAAAGTGTATAAAAATGAGAAATACAAATGAAGTGATTAGAAATTTTTGATAGGAAAAAATTAATTCTTTTGTTTCCTTAAAACATTCTTTTAAAAAAACATATTTGGTATAAAATAATATCTGTTTGTTAAAAAAAACTGTGCAAATCTTACAAATAGTTGTTTCGTGCATTTAAATTATAAGAAATGTTTTCAGTGATAACTTAGTCACTTGTGAATTTTCAGATGTTTATGATGATGAAGTCGGTACAATTATCAGCAGTGATAGATTTCAACCTGTGGCAGGTCAAAGTCAAACAACGGTATATACATATAATTTTATCATTTTATGGATAGGATTTCTATTTAACTTTTACATTTGTGCAAAGACAATGATAATTAAACATTTAGATCTAAAAGGAGTATAAGTTTTCTAACACATTATTCATGACTATTTGGACTTGGTGTTTGAGTTTCTATTGACCTTAGAAATATGTTCAGCCATATGATTTGAAAAAAAACTTTGATATGTTTTTGGAGTTTATAGGGTTACTCAGTATTTAGGATCTGATGAATATTCTTGCATATAAAAGGACTTTTTGCAAATTGAAAGACAAATAGATTTTTCATTTACATCTACAAATAGTGATATTTTTATTATGGCCCAGAGTTATCAGTTTACATTGCTGATATCAATTAAAATAACATATATATTTATTTTAATTCAGCCTTTTGTTGCTACCCAAGTCCCTATTTCGATATCTCCCACATTTGGCCTACCCTCCAAGGACACCCACATCTTACGTGACGATGAAGTCAGCGTAGACAAACCTTTAGAGACGGTGTTTGTAGACAGCCCAGCCAAGATCAGGCCAACCATTGAAGGTTTGTACCTAGTGACTGTATAGATTCAGACTGTATTCAAAGTTTCATGAGTACTAGTTTGCCTTTAAAATAAATTTTGGAAGTAAAATTAAGTGAATTCAAAGACAATAACATTGGTTCCTTTTTTCCAAATTTTTCAAGCATTTCTCTTTTAACTAAACTCTTATACCGGTAATTATAAAATTTATTATTCTAAGTAATTAGATACAAATTTTTTCAAAAAAATGTATTGTACTTGATTTTAACATGCATTACGTAATATATGACTTGTATACTTGAAAACTGAAACTTAAAAAAGAGAAATATCTGATGTTTATGATGTTTGTTGCTCCAGCTGTAAGTAGTGGAGAAAAACCAGCAAGAAAAGGCAAAATGCCCACAAAGTTTGAACCTCAGCAAGCAATCAATGAGGGATACGGACAGACTTACAACAAGCCCATGTCATGGGGCATTGAAGGAGGTTAGATTTACTTTTAAATTCACATATATTCATATGCCGACAAGAAAGTGGCGTGCAATCTTAGTATTATCATCTTGTTATTTGGGGAAGTATGTTTATATATACTTCATTTCACATTTCCTTGTTTATCAATGTATTAGAGTATAATGAAAAGAATGTTGAATGATAGTTTTTTTAGCATGTATATATTCTTGATATGATAATTCCCAAAAATGCAAATTAAAGTAAGTGACGTTATTGTAACAGTTGTAACTGGAAAATTAATTCAGTAAAATGCATGTGCATATAACCAACTACATGTATTTCTTAGAATTTTTTTTTAAGCGTAAGAAAAATAATGAAATTCTGAAGACAAAATACATCATCAATTAAAGGAATGTGATTAGACTTCACTAATACATCATGTAAACATTTTAATTTGTCATATTTTGGATGATAAATGATTGATCATAATTATGTTTATAACAAAGCTGAAAATATTTATTCTAGCTCTTAACATTTGTGTCTTTACAGGATTACCTATACCAAGGATAGACGATGACGTGCTATCCCTGTCAGCCAGATCTGTTGCTTCTAGCTGCTCTCTAGCGTCAGAGGTTTACGAAAGAGCCCAGAAACGCACCAAGGAATTCTGGGGCAAAGATGGCATAGCTTCACGATAAAACAGTTATTAGTGTTAGTGCATGTGTACCTAAAGCAGAACTGTGATACTGAAATACATGTATGATGTAGGATGTTTTATTTTATTTTGCACTTAATGTGTCAACTTCCGTCCATAGTTTATGGCAGCAAATTGAACGCTCAGTATATATGTCAGGTACCAAAAGATGTTAAGTATATATTACGATGATGGACAGAAAAAGAATTTTTACAGTATGAATGAGAGACATAGAATTATGTCACAATTACACAGAGACATAGAATTATGTCACAATTACACAGAATTTCTAATAATAGCATTTTAGCTTGTAATGAGGCATTAAAAGTGTTTTTAAACTGAGTGATTTTGTAAACATTTTCGTGTATGATAATGAGATTTTTTAAAAATTTTATTTTATTTTTTTACAAATACATGTTTTATTTCCTCTGTCTTTCCTTTTCTTGCTTTTAAAATTGAATTGCCTTTAACTGATAAAAATAATTTCTTTTAATTGAACTTTCCTAAAAGAGACTGAGGGATTAATTTTCAAATCCTAGGAAAATTTATTAATATCCTGAGCCCTCCCATACTTATAAGATCTGCCATGAAATTTTAAGAAATTAGATACCTTTATCTGTACAGGTACATATAACTGTACTTGTATATTCTATAACTGGTATATAATTGCTTCATCTCCGTATAATTTATCATGGATTTTTTTCTTTTATTTTTACAGATATACTCCATGTTTTATTTTAGTTATTTATGTATTTAAAGTTTCATTTGTTTCATTGAATCTCATTAAAATATTTCAATCTTTACATCACTAGGACATCAATTGAATAATTTGAAGTTATTGTTATTAATTAAAAGGTTGCATGAATGTTTTAAGGTTGCATTGCTAGATATACATTTTTGTTTCCTGTATATTTGTGTTAAGTGTACTAATCATAGATTTGTTATGTGTAGTTGTTGGAGCATGCTTAAAATCCGTGTTAGAAAGATATTTAGAAGAATATATACTTAAAATGTAACTGGTGATTTTGTTTTGATTTAAGGAAGAGTTTGAATAGAAAGTTTAAAGTGTTTACATTCACCTTGTTCAAGAAACAAGGGCAAACACATTTTTATTGCATTTATTTTCAACATTCCTTTGTCCCTAAATATACAATAAATAATTCTTAATCTATGAGGATTGTTAGATTAGTTGACGTTGCGCCTATGGATTTTCTATTGTTTCCATACCTGGCCGTTTAACTGCCTAGACATTTATTTCTCGGTCATTAATATCCGAAATAGCACAAGAACATTTTAGAACAGTTATATGTCGTGATATAGATATTTGATTTTTAAGAAGAAAAAAAAAAGAAAAGTCTAAAATATAATTCATTCAGAAATCCGAAATAGGTTTGAAATCTGGTTGTCACGTCACTTAAGGTATATCGCGGGTTTACTGTCAGCCTGAAAACATAAAATATGCTAAAAATTTGTCAGCTATCTGCTCTCATTTTAAATTTTTCTTTTTGAATTTTTTTTTTGAGATTCATCTGCGTGGTTTAAATGTAATCGTAATTCTAATGCACTTGGTTTAAGAAGACAAAACAAGAGGCCCATGGGCCTTATAGGTCACCTGAGTAACATGTTACAACTTTCTAACAACTGAATTTGGTTCGACTAATTTTAAACCACTAGCCTTGAAATTAACAATTTTGAAAGAGGAACCATTGTTTATCATAACTATACACTTAGCATGCTTATTTTGGTTACTTAATTGACCCAAAGGTAGATCAGAGTAACAACAAGAAAATGCATTTCCATTTTATAATCGCCAGTTGTGCACACCAACCCAGAGGTACCACTGACCCGAGGGGCACTTATTTCGATATTATGGAAATTTCATCATAAAATATAATTTCATCAGAAATGGTTGATTAATATCAAAGAGAGATTATTTAGTTTCAGGCTATGTACCTCCCCCCTACCGTCTGCAGTACCCCTAACGCAGGGGCCCTGAAATTAACCGTTTTGGAAGATACACCTTTCTTTATCATTATAAACATGTACTTAGATCATTGACATTATATACTGACACGCAAAAGAAACGCAACAAGCTGTAATTTACAAATGTTTGATTTTTTTATCTGATGATTTTCAAAAGCGAATAAAGTAAGACTAAACTCACTTTTCAAAACAGCAGAGATTTGATAAAAATGTTAAATGTTTATCTGTTTACTTTACTAAGTAAAATATGACTGTTAAAACACCCCCTCCCAGCCATTTAAGTAAAATGTACAAGACTGCCCTAAACAACAATTGCAGCTTAATTTCTACGATACAATAGGTTGATTAATATCGAGATCTGAGCGAAGGAATTATTCTTTGGCATTTTTAAAAGCCCGTTTTTCAGATGATTAGGTCGAATTTTCTCTAACTTAGAGCACTTTTGCCACCCTTGGACTTCCGGTACAAGGACTGTCCTTAATCCGTATGATACGTAAGACCCTGTTGAGGCGTAATATAGTGAAATTTCGCATCAGCAACTCTCCATCACCTTTACATTGAAATTTTCCAGCTAGAGCAATGGAAACGCGTACATAAGCGGTTTCAAGTAGTCGTAGCATCGAAAGGAAAGGAGAGTTTATTTTTTGAAATATTGTTGCATTACTTACGATGAACAGTAAAAAGCCCTTAAAACTCCATAATATTGCCAAATGTTTTGTTAAACATGCAATTTTGATTTTTGTTAAGCAGACTCAAACTTGACTTCCGGTTATGGTATGAAAATCGTTCAACTGTTAAATTACCAATGTTTACCAAATTGAAGATATTCATAATTTTAAGATACAAAATTCTTTACGTAATTATTTCCCCCTAAAGTAGGGTGTTGTGTTTCTCTTGCATGTCAGTATATACCAAGAAGCTTTTAGGAAAAGACTTCCAAAGAATTCATGCATTTTCACAATATAATCATTACAGAGCCCCACCGTAACACCAGAACCCCTGACCCAGGGGCCATGAAATTCACAAATTGGGAAGAAGAATCTCCCCTCATCATAACTATGTTCATAGCTCATTGGATTTATATCCAGGAGCATAAGAGAAGATTTTTAAGGAATTTTTGCATTTTCACAATATAATAAATAGAACTCCACCCTAACACCAGAACCCCTGACCTTGGGGCCATGAAAATCACAATATTGGTAGCCTTATTCAGTAAAATCATGAACTTCGTTAGTTTATTTCATACCCAGGTGCAGAGAATAAGACTTTGAAAGAATTAATGCATTTTCACTTTGTATTTTAACAATAGGGTACGTCCCGCCCTACCACAGGAACCCCTGACCCAAATTAAATTTTTATGCATTTTCACTATATATATATATATATATATATATATATATATATATATATATATATATATATATATATATATATATATATAACCAAAAGAGCCCTGCCCAACACCATAATCCCTTACACAGGGTCCATGAAATTCACAATTTTAGATCGAAGAGGCAACCTTATTCAACATAACTATGTATAGTTGGTTTGTTTATCTAATGCCCAGGAGCAGAGAACAAGATTTTCGAAGAAAGAGTGTATATTCACTATATATAACCTATTTAGCCCCGGCCTAGCACTAGCACCCCTGGTCCTGGGGCCATGAATTTCACAATTTGGGTAGGGGACTCAATGCTAATTACAATCATGCTAAGAGTTTAAGACCGCTGAACATTAACTGGCAAAATTGGAAATATACAGCTTACGTCATTTCTATCTGTTACATTCAAAACATTCAGTGATAGACAATGAAATGGGCGGGTACAATTCGACACGGACGTTTGGAAAACATCGGACTAAAATTGCAGATCGAAATTCATTTTCAATCCACCTCCGCTACGCTAGAAGGCACATTATTACTGATTGACCCAGAAGACAAATAATTTCAATTTTGGTACAATTTGAATTTTTTTGTACAGTGTTTTAAATGAATAAATATTTAAGGGACAAATATTGGTAAATACATGTATATCTTTGTGTTGGTGGGGGGGGGGGGGGGGTGAACGATTTTTAAATAAAGTTGTCCAACAGTTTTCAGTGAGAATAAGTATAAATTTCATGCACTCTTATAATCCTAGAAATAAAATATGCCATGAGCTAAAACTCATATTAATGTGAACTTCAAACAATATGTATTTGGGAGTTGAAATATAGTTGATTTTTGGATCATACATTCACTCTTTGCTTTGAAAACAGCTCAGGTGGATTGAAAATACATTTCGAACGAATTGTACCCGCTCATTTCGTTGTCTATCACTGAATGTTCTAATTTTAATAGATAGAAATGACGTAAGCTGTATATTTCCAATTTTGCCAGTTAATGTTCCGCGCTCTTAACTGCTTGATGTCCAGGAGTTAATATAAGATTTTTAAAGATTGCACTAATTTTGGCGGTTTTGGCCCCACCCCTCAAGCCCCAGGTTGACTGGGACCATGAAATTCACAAGTTTTGTCCCTTCACCCATAGATGCGCTGTGCCAAAATTGCTTGAAATTGGTTGAGCGGTTGCAGAGAAGAAGCTGAAAATGTTCATATGTTAACACACGGCGCACAATGGACGACGCACAACGACGGACAAAAACGGATAGCAATGGGTCACCTGAGTTTACTCAGGTGACCTTATATATTAGTGGTTACATGTATGTTACGCATTTATAATCGAACGTCTTTCAAATTTGTGTGAAAATTAGGTGAGGTGTTTGGGGTTAGGACAGAGCTCTAGGATTTTTACTCTACTAAAATTAAATGTAGGAATTTTATAATGAACAATTATCAATCCAAAAAAGTATATAAACAATACGAACCTATGAAAAGGACATTAAACACGGACTCCTGAAAATTCCGGATATGGAATCAGTTGCCTAGAAGAATAAGCATTCCCTATTGACCAGCCACGTCCACCTTGCGCCACATCTCATTGTCAAATTCAGTATAAATCGTCAAATTCCCTTACTTTGTTGTATTATACCCATATCATGTCACAAGTATATGGGATTTATGTCTCTCAGTGATCTGATAAGCAGATGTATGCTCTATGTCACAGGCCTTTGGATCGCTTAAAAAATTCTGTGTAAAAAAAAAATTCAACAGCTCATTTTTTTCCTAAGCGATCTAAAGGTCTGTGCTCTATGTATGTACAATTTCTAAATCAAAGCAAGTTATTGACAAGTATTAAGTAAAGTTGATGAAAAAAGAAAACACAATCTTAGATTATCATTATTTCTTTATTTCTCCAATTCAATTACATATCGGTTACATAAGTTAGAAAGAATAATTATTGGAAAAAAAGTTAATGGTGAAATTTCTCTTGAATTTGACAACGGAACGTTTGATCTACTCATTACTTGATCAAAACATAAGGGGCACGGCAAGTGCGATTCTTACTCCACCTACAAGCTCCGGATCCTACCTCTTGAATTTCCTTGATGAGTCTGTGTTATATAATTATGTATTGTGCACAAATTCTCGAATAGGACGTTAAACAAGACACAATCAATCGTATTTGTATTGTTTGTAAGTTTTATAAAATCGTTATCTATTCGTTATCTCCAATTTTTCATTTCTAAATACGAAAATAAATGTTTAAAACTATTTTTTTTTTAATGATATGGTAAGTGGTAATAAAATTGATAATTTTTTTTTCTCCTGGCTTTCATGGGCGGGGTAAGTGTTTATGTTATGTCTATTGTACTTCAACGGTGACTAAATCATAGTAAAAACCGTAAAAAAACAGCATAATTTCTTTTAAATTATATGAATTAAAAATTAAAGGATACAAACTTACTATTGACAAAAACTCAATAAGCGTTCTAGATCCCCCCCCCCCCCCCTGCATGTCTGCTTAATTTGCTGAATTTTAAGCCAAACATAAGAAGCGGGGTTTAAAAAATACATTACCGGATGTACTAGCATTGGATTATTTTATTTATTCTAGGTGCGATGCGTCGTCGCATGCCTCGGGGTTTGGATCAATTCTATTCCAGCAAACATTTAAAGAACGCAGCACTGTGAAGTCCTACTATGAGAAATCAACGAAAAAAAGACGTGCAAAAAAGGGGGATTTTTTAAAAATTGAATTTATTTTAATTAAGCTGTTTTATTATCACAGAACTTTAATACTTTTGGATATACATTATGTAGCATACAATAACCCACTCTGTACTGTATGAAGTTTAGTCCAATCAATGGACAGTCACGTGATGAATGTGTAGTCCGTGTACTGAATATAGGACAGTAACAAATTTCAATATCGCAAGGACATACCCTAGTTGAAATTAAAAGTTCAAGGTATTAATTGTTTCTGCATACTTTGTAGTTTCTGAAAAGTACTGCTGCTTTGAATAGAATTCGCGTTTTAATAGTTAACATTTAAAGTAAATAGGCCAATGTCGAAATATGTTTTACTTTTACCAAACATTTTGTGTACTTATACAATCACGACCTCGATTTAAAGAAAGCAGCAGCACTTTTCAAGTTAAGGAAAATATCCTTTATCTATATTCCAAAAAATGGTTCAGATCTATGCAGTGTATGCCCTTGCGAAAGTACGATTTTATTAGGCATCTCGATGTAAAATATACTTAACCTGTACCTAAAAACACAGGCGCGGATCCAGTTATTTTTTCCAGGGGGGGTCCACCCCAGTCAGAAAAAAAAATCCAATCCCAGAAATTCCCCCCCAGTCAGAAAAAAAAATCCAATCCCAGAAATTTTTTGACAAGCAAAAAAAAAAAAAAATAAAAAAAATAAACTCGCCCAATCGTCAAAAACCTATTTCGTGGTGGGGGGGGGGGGGTAGTGGTGGGTTCTATTTCCGCAAATGTTTCACTATTCATACCCATTTCACACATATTCCCGTTTACCAGAGGGGGTCAGCGTTTTCCAAAGGGGGGGGGGGTCCATGGTAACTTTTTTCTTGTTTTAGTATATACATTTTTTAACCTGCTAAATTCCAGGGGGGGTCCTGACCCCCCGACCCCCCCTCTAGATCCGCGCATGAAACACAACATAATTAATAAAATACATTCTTTTGGTAGTTAATTAATAATCGCACTAAACAAAGGATATATAGAGGATATTCAATGTTTTGTAGTTGACTATGGAATTTATTTCACGAGTGGGACAGGATTTTTGATATTTTCACGAGTGCGAAGCACGAGTGAAAATGTCAAAAAATCCTGTCTCACGAGTGAAATAAATTCCATAGTCAACTACAAAACATTGAATTTTCTGTTTATTACATTTTTTAAAAAAAATTCTTTGATTTTTCCTTTGCCTCTGTGTTTTGTATAATACAGGTCATATGCTGGTGACGTCATAGTTGAGCGGTTGAGACGTCATAGCTAAGTGAGGTAAAAACACTGTAAACATGGATTTAGCAACATATTTTTGGTAATTTTGACAGTATTATTCGCTGTCAGAATGGTTTATTTATTTCCATCTATCTTATATTAGGTTAAGGAAGATTTTTTTCGGCAATCTTCGTTATGGAAAATATCGAGAGTTTTCCCGCACTTCTGATATTCGTCACACTGTGACAGGATATCATTTTGATATCCTTTCACACTGTGACAGGATATCATTTTTATTCAGTGAATAAATTACAGTATTTCACGGGTAAAAATATAATAAACTTTAATATTAATCGACTATTTAAAACCTGTAAATAATATTCTGTTTAATAATAAAACGCATTTTTCATTGTTAAAAAATTCCTCAATCTGCCTCTCACAGCACATGAAATACGTCATTTTTACCAATATGACGTCATGTTTACAAGTTCATCGCGATCAGTACTTTATAGCCAGCTACGTGGGATTTAACTAACAACTTTTTTAAATGCATTGATAAGTTATATTGTTTATTATGCTAATATAGTTAAATTTTGCGAATTATTTCATTTTTAGGTATTATGAGAAATACATAAAAGTCATATTTTTGTGTGACGTCACAGTAAACTTTTCCCGTATAAATTAAGCCCCGCCCCCTTTTTCAAGCCTTAACAATGCTGCGAATATATTGATTTTTAAAAAGAAAAAAGGAGGGGGAGGGCACATCAATTTTGATTTCTTTTTACTGTCAAACTGAATATACAAACAGGAATGGAAATTTACAACTGTGCTTCGACTAAAGTGTATGTAAAAGCTTTAAAACTTAATTGAATACATCTTAATCCTAGTATCCCATACATCTGTTCCCATACAACAAATAGTTCTTTCCTTGTTCAATATGAAAAACGCAGGCCTTGGCATATCTTCAATCAGACGTAGAAGAACCCCATTGCTGGATATTATGTGAATGTTGTTACTATTTGTCCCTGCCACATATATGACATCATCACAGTCAATATGAAGACCATAGGGATGTCTTAATTTCTCATGACTGTATGTCCAGACAATGTTACCTTCATCTGATATTGCAGCTACTGACTGTTTTCCCTTATATGCACTGAAAACTATTTGACCGTTTTTTGCCAAAGCAACATAATGGACACCGTTTGTTGTTGGATAATTTTTCAAAATATTTCCCTCTGTATCCATTTTAATAATTGATGTGTTACATGCTATATATAGGAACTGTTTCCAAAATGAGATCCCATAACAAGCAGTACCAACGTTGATTGTACGCTTCATTCGAAAATTCTCAGCTGAGAGAACCGATATCATACGACTCGAAATGCCTGATGCAAAATAAAAATCTCCATTTTGCTTTATATCAAAGCTACCATGTCCAAGCATAATCTCTTTTTCAAAATTCCAAATGTCGTTTTTGGCAGAGTACCTCCTTATCGTTTTTGTGTTCCAGTCAGGGAATATCATATCCGTGTTAGAAAGAAAAACCACACTACGAATGCTGCTACCTGGTAATTGCCACTCTTGATACAACTCAAATTTGAAGGTTTTATTGTCAACCATATGTGATAAACTCTCTCTTTTTTCATTGATTTCAGTGTTTCCAATTTTTAAGAGATTTGCAACTGCTTTAAAATCAAGCTCTAAATTGGATTGCAATTTGAACTCAATTTTCTCTACTTTTTTATTCTTGATGTAGTCCAATGTTTTCTTGGTTTTGAGGAATTCCATCAGAAAACTGACACCTTGTAAACCTGTAGCTTTCTCTATATCTTTTTGACATAGTTCCACGAAGTGAATTCTTTCACCAACTGTTTCTATATTCTTTGTCAGTTTTTCCTTGCATTGTTTTATTTGTGTTGACATTTTGTCTAAAAACTCATTTTCTTGTTTTTCAAGATTCTGAATAATTTCTTCTTTCACACGATGTACCTCACTTTTTATAGCATCTGCCTCATCTTCTATTTCTGTGATGTTTTGTTCTTCTTTACATTTTGTATCTGAAAGTTTTTGGCCAAATTTTTTGATGTCCTTTGATAATTCCTCTATTTGTCCACTGTTTCTGACGTTTTCTGCCTTTTGTTCAATGGTTTCTACGCTTTCACATTTTCTATGTTCGGTGCTGCAGCACATTGCACAGCATGGTTCCTCATGATCATTGCAAAACAACTCTATCGGTCGATCCTTGTGTTTTTCGCAATAGATGTTTGAAGAAATTTTTGACAACTCAGGCACACATTTCATCTCGTCAAGACGGCAGATCTTGTGATCCCGAGATGTACGATTTTTTCGGTGATCCTTTGCACACATATCACAAAGTGCTTCACAGCAAAACAAACAATAGTTATCTGCCCCTTCTGATTCATTATCTCGTTGACAGGCTTCACATACTTTGAGAGAAATATCCCCGTCTGATCTATTGGTTGGAAAATGCTGACTCCAGTCTTTAAAATTTAAACAGAAACTAGGAGCAGGCACAAACTCTCGACAGACAGGACATTGAAATCCTAATGGGTCTTCCTTTGATTGACAGGTAGATACAATATGGGAAGAAACACAGTCGTGACAAAATACATGCGAACATGGCAAGACACGCGGCGTTTTAAACTGCTCAAAACATATTGGACATTTAGAAATGTCCACGTTACCCACGCCTTTCTCTTCCGTTATGGAACACGCCATCAATATTTAGCATTACGTATCATTTGCATTCTTTGAATTTAAAACGAAAGTCACGAATGAAAATTTACGGAATGCCGATCCCGAAATGGAATATATTTTTTCAGCACGATCAGAGATTCTAAAAATCTTTCTTTAGAACTAATACCACCTTCAAGTTTTAATAAAGGTTTGAGTATTTAATACAGAAAGTCTTAACTTTAAAATTTTGTTAATTAAAGAAAATAAAATTTTAGGAAGTTTGACCAGTTTTAAAATAATGTTTGTTTGCCAAAATTTGCCTTGGAAGGTGCATGTAGGTGGAAATTTTTTCACAGGAAATCAATGCTGAATTTTCAAAATGTATTTTCCGGATTGCATAAATATATCATTGTTTCTTTGAGAATAAAAAAAAGTTTTGAGTCGGCAAATTTGCCAGTCGGTCGGGAGAGGGTAACCACACAATATTTTAAAGATGACTCAATTTTTTCCGTTTTTGACTTTACCACGGAGTAAATTACTTATATATGAGATATTTGTATTTACTTTAAGATCTTGCTTTAAAAACCGATTTTTCTCGAATTAACTTCATTTAAAGCAATATGAGCTGCAATTTGAAAAAAATTATTTTGCTATTAAAATGTGTTATTATGTTAGATTTGTATGTAACTTTAACCATTATGATCAATATATAAGACAAATATAGCAGAAGAACGACTTCTCTCTCTCTCTCTCTCTCTCTATATATATATATATATATATATATATATATATATATATATATATATATATATATATATATATATATATATATATATATATACACAATCCAATATGCATTGTTATTTCGAAATCATTATTGTACAGGACGACAATAATGTAATTTTGATTCAATCGAAGCTTATTGATAGTTCTTCCATCTCAAATATGAACAATCTATATATAGAAGCTTATTAATGTTATTTTATTCTGTCATTGAAATAATTTTTTACAATTTTGCAACATAAAATTCCAACATCAAAGTTGCGGCTAATATTGATATTGCTTAACATGAAAAATAATTCTTATTCATCATTTCTTCTTTGCTTCTATGATGTAGGTTGTAGAAAACTTAGAATTATTAATAAGAAAAAAAAAATAGATGAAAGTTTCCAATTTTTAACGTTCAGACTATATGAGAAGTTGATATGATCTTCACAAAGAAGAGTAAGGTAAAGTTTGCTTAAAAAATAACCGGTACGTTTGAATCTAATATACGAGAATGATTTAGTGATAATACAACATGTAAGATGCATTTCAATATGTGTGATATAAATTAAGTGTTTTCAAATGAATTGAGAATTTCTTGTAATACTTTAGTAACTATACCTCTATAATTCTTTTCGACGTGGTTCCGCCACGTGTATTTTATCGTCAAATGTCTGTATGGTTTTTTTTTTGTCAGATTTTGTCTAAAGACTTATTTTTCTAATTTTTCAAGATTCTGAATAATTTACTTTTTCACTCTTTGTATCTCACCTGTTATAGAGCTTGCCTCGACTTCTATTTCTGTGTGGTTTTTCTTCTTCTTTGCATTTTGTCTGAGAAAGTTTTGTTCAAATTCTTTGGTGTCATTTAATACTGTAAAGAACTTTTTTAACCGCGGAAACAGTTTTCGCGTAATTACAAGTGACAATGTTCTCGCAAAAATTTCATAGGTGCAATCAATGTATCGACCTAAAGATTTAATAGAGGAAAAACAACAATTCGTGAAAATTTTTTATTCGCTTATAAAGATTAATGACTATCTCGCGAAAATCAGGTGTCATGAAGTAAGTCCCCTAGAAGTCCCCTGCTTCTGACCTTCTCGATTTTTTTTTAATTGCTTCCATGCTTTCACATTTTCTATGTTCTGTGCTGCGGCACATTGCACAATACGGTTCTTCAAAGCCATCGAAAAACAGCTCTTACGGTCGATCTTTGTACATGTGTTTTTCCCAATGGATGTTTTGGGATATTTTTGTAAATTTAGGTACATATTCTGTCTCAACAAGACGATAAATCTTGTGGTCTCGAGATGCACGATTTTTAAAGGTGATTCTTGGTGGTACCATTATCTCAAAATGCTTCACAACAAGACATCGTCTCATTTTCTCGTTTACAGGCTATGTAGCAACCTCTAATGATAAAACGCCGCTTAATGATAGAAATAGCATTAAGCGTTGCAATTGCAACGCTTAATGCCATAAATTATTGCATTAATAGCTGACATCATCAACCGCTAATGCTAAATCGCCGCTGAATGATAGAATTATATCATTAAGCGTCACAAATGCAGTGCAACATCGACGCTTAATGAAACAAGCAAATATCGACATATTCGACGCTTAATGACACACACTAGTGTATCATTAAGCGTTGCAGTTGCAACCCTTAATGATATAAAATTTAGAAATCGCTTGTTATATCTAAGAGAAACACACATCCACCTTTCCTGAACAATGAAATATCACTTGTCAAAATATTTATATATACCCTTGCGCTATATAAATGGTTATTATTGAAGTTTTACTGTGTTTTCTATCTAGTCAAGGGAACGTCGTTAAGCCCCGGGTGTTTAAGAGACAGAAAGTCAGATAGTTAGAAGAAAGAGATACAAACAAACGAAAATACAGAAGCAAACAAGCAATTCAATTCCTTTTAATTTGATACAATGATTTTAATACTCATCCTAAAATATATAGAATATATTTAAATATTCCAAACTTTGTATTTTAGATTTGATACAGCTTAACACATGTCACTGTTAACGTTTCAGATATACGTATCGAGAAATAAATTTATAATTTTCACTTTCATTGTATTTTAATCTGCTTCGTTTCTCCAAATTTCCATAAAGAGAGACATCAATATTGACAATTTATGTTTAAGTATATAAAACACAAAGAATACAAATGAATGCAATACATTGAAAAATATATTATTTTGAGAAAAGGTTCATTCATCTTTTATTTGTTATCAGTTTACTTGAAAACATTACTGTGGCATGATTATTTTAGAATCAATTTTGAGAACTAGTACATGTATACAATTATCAAATTATGAAAAACATTTCGAATGAAGTTGATGAAGCTGATGTTTTTTTTTTCAATTCTAAATGACGCATACTTCATTTTGTAGTATATTTGCCTGTTTGTCTGTCCACCTGTCTGTAAACAATTTTTCAAAATGCTACTCCTCCTGCAGTTTTGGTCTGATTTCAATTTAACTTGGCACACAGAAGACTACACTAAGATACTTAATTTCTGCATCGGTTTTTGATTTGTTCCTTAGTTACTAAAGATAGAAATAATATAATAAAATGCTACTTATCCAACATTTTTTGTCTGATTTCAAAATAACTTAGCTCACATGTAGACTACACTTAAAGATATCGGTTTTTGATTTCGATCAACAGTGTTGCCGTGGTTACTAAAATAGAAATTTCTGTGAAATTCATTCAAAATGCTACTCCTCCTACAGTTTTAGTCAGATTATGATATAATTTGGCATGCAAGTAGACTATATTGGCATACACTTTTATCAGTTTCGTGTTTTTGAGTTTGTTGATTGATGTTGCCATGGTAACTAAAATTGAAAATTCTGTATAATTTTTATTGAAAGCTATTACTACAGTTGTAGTTTTATTGCAATCTTGCCACAAAAATAGATATAATTAAAGGCAGTCATTCTAATTATTGCTTTTATAAAGCCTTAAGCCCCAATTGCTACTTTTTTCTTCCTTTATTATAGGTAAGTACAGACGAGTAGAGCTACAGTCTCGACAGAGATATATTTTTTTCTTTCGATATATATAAGACTAAGTTTACATCTGACTAATATTAATATAAAATAGATTTAAATGGATAGTTTTTTTTCGGTACAAGAGAGACCCTTTCTATTAATGCATGTACTAGTATTCATTTCTTGAATATTATTTTTCTTAGAAAAATGGTCCTGTTCCTAAAAAAATGTTGGAACCTTTTTCTTAATCTTAACCTTGAAATGTAATGAAATATAAAGAATAGGAATCAAAACTTAATTACACCAAAGCTTCAAAGTCTTTACTATTGTTAATTAAATTCCAAAGTTTTCACTGTAGTAAAGCAAAGTTTCAAAGTTTTTACTATAGCAAATCAAAGTTCCAAAGTTTTCACTATAAATAGTAAATTTAAGTTTTAAATGTTTACTTTGGTACTATAGTTAACTAAAGTAAACTATAGTTTACTGTAGTATTTTTTTAACGAGGCTAGGGGGTGGCAGCCATTTTTAGACTATTTCAATCTCCTTTAAAAGGAGAGCTCCATATAAAGATATAGAAAATGGTTAAAATTTCAAACTTAAATATATGATTTTTTTCTTTGCCAAATGATAGTTGACAGCTAAATATACCGTATATAAAAAATAAGTTAAATCTGGTGGTTAATTTGGGATTAAATTGTTGACCCGCCAGCCTCCTTAAGGATGTTTTCGTTTTTTTTTTACACCAGCCGTGAAATTATCCTATAAATTTAAGTTTGTCGTGCAATGTAACATCACCGACTTTCTCATCACAATAAAACAACAAGAGGCCCATGGGCCACATCGCTCACCTGAGAAGCTTTGACCATTCTGTTCTTTACAAGATTTCCCCCTTGTTATACATAATGCATCCCCACCCTACCCCACTGATCATAATTTAGACATTTTGAAATCTCCAGTACCCTATGATCCTTCCATGGGCACATATTTTTCAGCTTTTTTGGCCCAGTGGTTCCTGAGAAGATTTTCAAAGATTTTCCCTATATATTTCATGTAAAACTTTGATTCCCCATTGTGGCCCCGCCCTTCCCCCGGGGGTCATGATGTGAACAATTTAGAATCTACACTATACCAGGATACTTCCACATAAGTTTCAGCTTTTCTGGCCCAGTGGTTCTTGAGAAGAAGATTTTCAAAGATTTTTCCTATATATTTCTATATAAAACTTTGGTTCCCCATTGTGGCCCCGCCCTTCCCCGGGGGTCATG